AAAACATCTTTTTTTTCCTACTAAACCTAACAATGTAATTTAGTTTTGTTTATTTTGTTTTGTTTCAGTTCACGTTCACATTCACTACGTGTTACAAGCTGGTTACAGTAATCCGGGAGAAGTTACATTCACCTAGAAACACAAGTGAAAGTGCAGTTTAGTTGTATGGTATGGTTAATACATGTGTATATGTGTATGTGTGTATATATATATATATATATATATATATATGTATAGTTACTTTACTATATTGTAGTGTTGCCTCTCTGTGTTGTTCTTGTCTTGAATGTGAGAGACAAAATTAACAGTGCAGTGATTTTCCTTGTTCAGCCGGATGCTGATCTTCCTTCTATTGATTCATGGGACGAAACCATTTACCCGGACATGTTCGCTTGTCAGGAGAGTAGAAACACAGGTTCTGTTACGCAATAACCAATCATCACATACGGGTTTTTTTCTGGTGAGGACAGTGAACGTGTTTAAGGGTTTGCAGCTACTTCAGTAATGGTGAGGCACTTTTACCTACTGTTGAATCAAACCTCATTATGTGTACAGATCAGATGATTGTATATAGACTTTCCACCTTCTGTTTGTCTTTGTGAGAGCATGTGTGTGTGTGTGTGTGTAAAATGAGTGTGTACTGTTTCTATAATATCACGTCTAGTGCAGTAGAATGCGTTTTCATGGACATTCAATGACTCATTCTGATGCAACAACAAGATTTGTGTTTGTGTGTGGACTACAGATAAAACATTTATTTATTATTTGTATTGTTTTATTATAATTAGTTTCATTGTGATGATGTTTCAATCTGTTGATGGGTGTGTGTTCTAAACTACACTCCTCTGGTTTACAGCAGGACACATGGACACATGTTGGCCTTTGGTCGTCGGTCCCCAGTCAAAGACATTCAATTAGTTATTATTCAAAGTTTGGATCCCAACCTGTCTGAGGTTTTAAAGTGGTCACCATTAAAAAAGTTCTACCATCACCAGCTCATTATAATGGCTTCCATGCAATTACCCCTGCTGCCCACACATGCAAGAGTTACCATTTAAAATAAAGGTTTTTTTCCACATGAGGAGGTGGTATTGATATCAACACAGTTGTTGTTTTTTTCAGCTGGACGTCCTTTGTTCTGTTTCCAGCCAGCAGTGATTGGTCGGAGCAAAAATAAACCCGAATTACGACGTTGTTACCATCCACAACGCGGGATCAGCGAGGCGATGTCAGGGTAAGAGTTTTAATTGATAGATGCATGAAATCTTCCAGTCACCTCTTGGTAACTTGGATCTACTTGTTTCGAGTTCTTTACTGTCATGTGCACAATTACAGGGAAGAAGTCACGGCCAAGAACACTCTCAGATCTCATACTCCCTCCAACAATGCTTATTAAGTATGTATAAAAAGAAAATCACGCAGAGAATATGAAACCAAGATATTCAATTGTTACTGTGCACTTTCAGCTCTTCATCAGGTGGTGCGATTATAATTACTGGCCCAACCTGGACCCTGTGTCATTGTGGCGGGTTTCAATGTTACGCCAATTGGCGAATATCCCCGTTCACTTCCATTCTTTGCGATCGAAGGGGCGAATAAAACGAATGTGCTTTCTGGCATTCAGCGTGAATATTGCCTCTGTGGGCAGTGATCAAATAAGCACCAAGGCTCCGTTGAGCTGCAAGTTTAGTTGAAAACAGTCAAGGCCAAACCTGAGCGCCGTCCACCGACCGGAGCAATATTGCCGGGGCGATGGGCACTCGCTGGTGTAAATAATAACGTGATTATTACTGAATGGTACTATCTAGTAACAGAAACTAAATTAAATGCATGAAATTAAGTAAAATGTGAACATAGATGTTTTTTTTATAAAGTCTTTTTCTGTGAAATAGGCTTGTTCGATTCAAAAATTGTCACGGACCGGAATCGATCAGCAGAATCTGAATTTTTATGGCTAAAATCCAAGCGATTCCCGAGCCGACCCGTAACAGGGCACAGGCAGGTCAGACTGACCGGATGTTCTGCTGACAGGAAACCATCATAAAACTGCTGCATGGAATTCATTTGGCTGCTAATAGCGTATGGATTTGTTCTTTCTGTCTCCCTCTGTCACTACTGTGCCGAACACGATGCTGTGCAGAGATTTGGCCTTGTGGCACTTAAACCCAGTGCACTGGCTTTTGTAAGGCTGGGCTGCTTTGAAAAGACTGAGACCTTCCTGCAGAAGAAAAGCAGCCCACGGCCTCATCACAGCCCAGTGACTGTCTCTGTCTCTCTCTCTCTCTCTCTCTCTCTCTCTCTCTCTCTCTCTCTCTCTTTCTTCCTGCAGCTCCCTCTGCCTCCATCAATTGGATTCTCAGTCCAATCAGATTTTTAGGGATGAATGTTGGATGAATGCTTTTGCCAAAACATCTCAATACAGACAAAGTTGAAAATGTGCCTGAGTGAGTGTGTGTGTGTGTGTTATGAATATTTGAAAGCCTAATACTGACGTTTACTCTTTGCCAGTGTGCTGTATTTTCAACGCTGAACAATTCACTGTCCCCAAGGAACAAGGAAGCAGACTCCGCCCTCATAGATTTATATTAAAAAAGCAACTGAAAACACATTATGAGATACTAAAAGTCTTTAACGTTCTATTCATATTTTTACATTTTATATGCAGAAACTTTTCAGGAAATAAACCATGAATACTTTCATGCAGCTGCTGTCAGGATGGAGCCTCCATTGTATTGGACTGGCTGTTATTTAACTAAATATTTAAATGTTTCAAAAACAACATGTAATGTTGCTGTGCTTTGTCTCCCCTCCATGTTTCCTCTTGTTTCACCTCTAAAAGCACCTGCTGCGGCCGAACAATGAGCCGACAGCAGCTGACGTACAGCAGTGCTCCACCAGGGGGCACTAGACCGCCATTGAACAGAGCCGGTCCCCCCCACCCTGACTCCACTCCTTTGTCTGCTATACATTAAGGAAGCATCTCTATCCCAGATAAAAAAACAGTGTATGATTATTTTACCCCCCTAGTTGCCCTCAAAGACGGAATCCTCGAGAGATTTTAATTTCCTTTGACTCTGGAGACTCACGCGTGTCTGACGCAGAAATGTAAATGTAATTGCTCCGCTGAAATAAAGACGCTGCTGAAATGAAGCGTCCGCTTGGTCGGGTTTTATTCTGCCACTTTCCTCAAATATGAAAAGGAACAAAAACTCAAACACCATCCACAAACCGGCCACATCAATTGCCTCCTCCATAATGTTCCAATCGGCACTGAGAGAGATTTCCTGCGTGGCTTATTTGTCATTGGTGGGGGGGCTTTGAAAAAAGAATGGCACAGTATCACTGATCTGTTCTAGGATTTCTGCGTGTGTGTGTGTGTGTGTGTGTGTGCGCGCGCGCTCTGGACACCTACAGGGAATCTTATACTATCCGACCATTATCTTCGGTTAAAAACGGGGTCTCTCGTTCTTTCTGCTCAAATGATTTTAAGCCTCGCTAATTGAAAATGTCAGCTTGAAAAGTCAAGGCCTGTTGCGGCGAGTTAAGAGACCAGTTGGCATTAAGAAGACCTTAAATCAGCCCTGAGGAAATTGGTTTCATTTTTCTTCTTGCTTTCATTCTTCATTCTTTTTTTTGTTTCAGGACAATTGCACAGGCGGCAGCGTCCTCCCTCCGAGGCCGATATGTTGGTCGATTCTTAAGACCGTGATCTGGTGCGTCATTGTGATCGTGGCGGTCCTCGGGTTTCCGATTTCCCATCGTTCTATTTTAATATCAGACGATATGTGTGACGTGTTTCATCCAGAGGAGCTGCTGCCTTTTGGTTTTAGTGTCTCGTGAAGCTCTGCATGCTGATTCAGTGTAGTGTGGATCACAGCACAAAATGTGAAATCTGAAACTGAAAACTGTTCAACTTTGAAGAACATTGTCTGTGTTTTTGGTTTTCTTCCCATTTTTTTGGGAAAATTATCAAATTAAAAATGTAGTCCTGCCAGTATTTACTTAATAAAAAATAAAAATATATATCAGTGTGAACCTCCCCTCAGAGACAAAAGTGGAATAAGGAGGCATCTTGATGACTCCTAACACCTTGTTACCTTTCCCTTTAAACAAAGAGAAAAAACAAACAAATGTTGTCAACACTTGAACACACACACACACACACACACACACACACACACACACACACACACA